ACAAAATTAAACTTTTGGTGTTCGATTACCCTGAATCATTGATGCCACTGATCATTGCAAAGTTATGCCTAGTGTATATATAATGTGACAGGACTTGTACTTAAACCGAAGATACATCATTTCCCCCTTATTTATTTGATATCCTATTAAATATATGTTGGAATGTATATTTTCAGTGCCAAGTGAGATTGACAGAAAAGGATCAGAAAAGCACATGGAAGGACCTGCACAACATGCCTTTGAGTTTAATTTTTTCACTCCTCGATTTGGTTTAAGAATTCATCTGAACTCCTGGGCGCTAATGGGATTTGCCGTTATTGCACTAGCCGCTTTTGTCTCTCTCCTTTGTTGTTGTAGTTGGTATCGTTACTGTGACGTCGTCGAAAAACATCCAGCAATCCAGAATCGGGGAAATCAAGGAAGGTAAGTATACAACGACTCCTCACCAAGATTCAAGTCGGTGCATCTTTTAAGCAATAGAAAACGTTTTCCGTGTTTGCATAGCCTGATATTAACACGAGAGGGGTTGGGAGAATTCGAGACAGTTATGCGAACCCGAGACGAAGTCGAGGGTTTGCATAACTGTCTCGAATTCTCCCAACCCCTCGAGTGTTTATATCAGGATATGCAAACACAGGAAAAAAGTTCTCCATTGCTTTCATAACATAACTTTCCCGAGAAAAAAGGCAAAACGCTTTTGTTTAAAGCATTGATTAAAAGAGAAATTCTTACCAGTCCCGAAGACTTGTACCCGAAGCTTGTACGCGTAATCAGTCTTTGTTTTGCAAAAAAGATGCTTTCCAAAGTGCGGGTTTTTCTCGCTTAAAATGTCAGCTGAAGCGAAAAAAAATTGACACAGCATTTTTCTAAAGATTTTTGAAGTATCAACCGACGAGGAAATGGGTAAATAAAGTACACTTGTCGAGTTTTTCAACTCAAAACCTTTTTCAAATTCGTGCTTGCGTGATTAGCAAGCGGAAAGCCAAACAAGTTGACGTCACAACCATGCTTACATACTCTCATGCAAACACGCCTCTCGGCCAATCAGAGCGCGCCTAGTATCTTAGTTATTTTCGCGCTGGGAAAAAAAGTGCTAAAAATCGGCCTCAAAATGTGTCCAAAGTTTGCTTAAAAATATACGTGGAATGTTACAAATATCTCTTAAACTATAGAAGATAATGAGTTGAGACTTTCACTTTGTATATGTCTTAAGTTTTTCTTTCAAATTCTCCTTTTTTGGGGGTTAGTACTGCGCATGACCAAAAAGCCCATTTTGTGACGTTATCAGTTGTGGCGTCACAGAAATGAAATTTGAGATTTTAAATCGGATAAATGCCCTTTCAACTATAAGCTAGCGCAATCGCAAATTTCCCTCCGTATATAAGCTCCTCCGAATATAAGCCCCTCCAAAATTAAGCCCCTCAAAAAAGGCCTTTGAAAAATATAAGCCCAGGGCCTTTTTTTCGGAATTTTATGGTATTTTCCGAAAAAAGCACTGCTCACATAAGTTTGCACTTTTGGCTAGTTTTGCAGCACATAATTGTCATTTATTGATCATGCAACCAAGATCACTCATAGTTCTTTCTGAACAATTCGCAAGAATGTCAGATCAAGTTAATCATCCTTTTTTATTCTTGTCCAAGGTTAAAATCAAGCTAAGGCATCTCAGATTTTCACGAAAATCACAACAAGCCCGATAAAAATCTACACTCGACGACGAAGATACCGCTGAAGACTCGATGGCAATTGATAACTCAAGGATTTAGTTTAGTGCAATAGGGAGTAGTGTTAGTGTTTTTGTAACCTGCGTAGCAAGCTTCTCCGCGCGAGTTCGTCGAGAAAGTTGGGACGAGATCGAGAAAACAAGAGGAATGAAGCGTGGGGGAGGGGGGGGGGAGGCGGGGGGGAAGAGAATTTCATCCGATTGCCTCCAGTCGTTTTCTCCTCTCAGCAACGTCCGAATCGACCAGCCGTCAATGCCGTACAGTGACATCATCACTACCTGAAAACCGGGAACCTGAAAACCGGGTAGTGATTTTAATTATTTCATTGTCTAAACATTCGAATAATTATGCATAATTATGAGAAGTTTTAGCGGGATTGTCGCTTAATGCACCTATCAATGTAAATCCCGTGACAGGGGAAGTGCGGGCAAGGGGCGGGGATTTGATGCCTGAGACTATCCCCCTGTCGGGCTTTTGATCATGTGAAGCGACCCCGGGGTCGGGACATTTGACTTTGACCGACAAAAGTCTGGTATCAATAGACCTATTCGGCTAACTCAATGTTGTACCCAATTCAAATCTCCCGGGGCTAAGATTCTTTGTGTATTGTATTTGCATTATAATGTGGCATTCACATTTAAATCATATGGAAATTCCTGAAACAAAACGTTGTATTCTCAAAGGGTTTGAATTGGGTACAACATTGAGTTAGCCCGAGAGCCATAATAGGACTATTATGGCTCTTGGTTAGCCAAATAGGTCTATTCAGAAGCGGTTACCAAGTCCGTCCCTCGAGGCTTTCTGAAAGTCATGCTGTTAGAGAAAGGTACGAAGCTTTCGTTTGTTTTAATCACCATAATCCGATACTTTAAATTGTCATCTAAACAGATAATGTCTATTTTGAGAAAGGTTTTATCCTCAAGTTCCCATCTGATTGTAAAACTCGATTGAAATCGAATTCCAGAGTCAGAGGAAAGTCAGAGGATTTTTTACGGGTCACTGATCCGACCAGTTCCGACATGTTGAGCGGATGTTATAAAGCATTTTACGTTTCATTAATATTATAATAGCACAGTCAATCTTCCTGGAGTGATTTTGTTGTTCAAAATAGGAGATGCTAGTGGAGAGAGAAAATACCTAATTACAGCGAGTAATTTAAAGGAGCTTACGTTAACCATAAATAAAAGTAGTAAGAACGTACTTTTGAAATATTCCTTTAATTTGTTTTATATAGTGTTATAGTATTGTTTGTTTAGATTTTTCCCCTGGGGTGGGGGCTTTTTTGACACTTTTGATCGACCTTTCGTTTCCCACCCTGGGGAATTTGATTCAAAAATGTCAAAATTTGTCAAATCCCCACCCTTTTCCCGCACCCCACCCCCCACCCCTCCCCACGGGGTTTACATTGATAGGTGCATAATATTCAGCGGGTCGCATCCCTGGTATGATTGCGTGGAGTTCAAACATTTCGATAATCCTTATCGGAAACAGTAAAATAATATTCCCCTTGTCTTCGAAACTGAAATGCTAAATTGAACTGCGAATGAAGAATCAGTGCGGAGAGTCGGGAGGTTTTTCATTTAGAGTCGCTTTGTGGTCTTGGCAGTGATTTTGTTTATGTGGAGTTTCTGAGACCAGTTCTACTGATTCGACCCTCTAGCTATTTTCACTGTCAAGTTTCCTTGTTTTCTTTTTTCTTCGTTAAGGACCAAATAGCGTCTTTTCAATTAAACCAAATCGTTGAGTTTTTTAACTAAGTGTTCCGTGTGTGTATTTATTTCATTGCGTGACTGCGCCCGAGTTTGATTATGTCATTACAACCGGTTCAGAGTACTGCATGCAGTTGATAGTTTGAACGTTATGCATGAATTACGATCGAAATAAGTAAAGCTATTCTGTATCATGCAGACATTTCCCAACGATATTTCTTGGTTTGCCACTTGAAAACCGTGTTTAACTTTTTCAATGAATTAAAGCAAAGGAGTAGTGACGTCACTGGATGGCATTAACGGCCGGTCGATTCAGACGTTACTGAGGGAGTAATAACAACTCGAAGTAATCGGATGAAATTCAGGCTAGGGGGGAGAAGGAAACGTATCTTCTTTTTCCTTCCCCCTTCGATCTTCCATTTGTTGTGCTCTTACTCCAACCTTCGCAAAATAACTCGATTAGAAACGCTTTCTACGCAGGCATATATTTTTACAGAAGCGACTTCAAAGATAAGTATTAATTGACATGCGAATGGAAAGTAATATGTAGTTATCTTTTGTGTTGTACCGACCTGATGTGTTTCTTTTTTAACCGATTGCTAGTAAGACTCGAGGTTTTTTCTTCTTTTCAAATTCCTGATGCCTTTATTGGGAGCGGCGTAGCCTCCACAGGGTAGCACAACACGACGAGAGGAGAAAAAAACTGTCTCGAGAGTTTAATCAAACGGTGAACACGGATTTATTTCATGCTAGAAATTATAAGAACGGACCTTTGTAGCCAATCAACAACAATTTTTAAATTCCGCACTGCAAGACGAATTATTTACTTCATATATCACGCCACCAATCATGTCAGCTGTGTAGTAAACTATAACACAGATTGGATAAATATAAATCTTGAGTTCTCTCGCCTTTTGATCACTTTATTTTGAGTATGTTGACTGGCTTCTGGCTAAGATTGGCAATATATCGACCCAGAATACTCGACGGGTGGACTGAGTCCGCTGAAACCGGTCGATGAAGAGGTGCAAAATAATATTTGCGATCAGGTACGGTTTAAGTCAGCGAACTACCACTAGTTTGTTGAATCCATTACTCAACGAATAAAACAGTGGTAACCACCCTGCTTAAGTTGGCCAAAGAGTCGGGGTTTTTTTAAAATACGTTTTCAAGGCGCGAAACGCAACCGCTGGACGTTTGTTTGACTGCTCAGGCGTTTTTGTCCTATGGAAAAATACGGACTGTGTTGCCGTCTATTTGAACAGCAGCGGTGGATGTTTATTATTCATACATTTCGTGACGTGCGCTCCGCCAGTACATTCGTTGTTTATGCAGGGTGCTAGGGAATAAAACTCATCGTTTCAAGACGAGAGGTCGGTATCATTATCTTTAACTAAAACAAGCCACCAATGGCTCCAGGCAAGCAAAATATGACAGCTGCTACCTACAATTAAGACAAGCTGGAATTCAAGTTTCGTTTTTTGAGCCCTCTATTTGAGACCCATTATCCCCTTGCGTTTAACTAATACGACCTAAGTGTATCAGCCTTCACAGACTTCGTCAGGTTTCAATCCAACTGCGAGGCTGGCAGCATATTGAGATTGATTAGATGCCTCATGGTGGGTCTGCCGTGGGGACAGTTCCAGGGATGCTCAATCTCTCCCATGTGGTAAACAACCCTCTTCATTTGAGCCTGGTTAAGTGCAGTTCCAACCATGATGGACATGCGACACGCACGACTTGCAAACATTTTCCTCACCCTTGAAGGTCTACACATCACGCCAGGAGAATCACTCAGCATAAAAATCAACTCCTCGATGTCCTCAACACCAAACGTCCAGTTCTTGCTCATGGGCAGAGAAACTAGCTTGACCTTCTTCATTGCCTCAGCATTTTGATCGATCTCAAAATCAAATCCGTTCTTTTGAAATATTTCCACGTTGTCCATAAGGATAGCTTCATTGGCAGCGGTTAGTTCAAGATTCTGGGGAACAATAAGACGTTGGGACTTAATTGTCGTGTTCCTCTGTTGATCCTCAAAGTTAAATTTCTCATCTGAAGCATGCTGGTCGATTATGAACAAATCATTGTCCAGTTTTGCGATGATAAAACCCAGATTAAATTGACCTAAAACTTCCATACGCTTGAACATATCTTTACTAATATTTTTCGTTAGTTCTTTCTCAGCACTGGAATTGCTCTCTGGTGCTATCTTCGCTCTGAACAAACGAGCTTCTACTTCATCTGTTTTCTGTCTCGTTGGTGCCGTAACAACGCTTTTAAGTTTATTCATACTGAAACTCACTGTTGTTTCCTTTCTGTTTCTAACCATCTCTGATACCTGAGTTTGTTTTTCGGTGTTGCCAAGTTTAGGAAGAACCAGTATTGTTTTGCAAGATACGTTACTTGAATTATCTTTAGCCTGGCCGAAAAATGTTTGATTAGTTTTATCAAAACGCTCTGAATCTATTTCTTGCTGGACGTCTTTCTGAGAACTTACTTCGTCGTCATCAGATTCACTTACAGAAATGATATCATCCTTAACTTTAGCAACTTCAATGTCAGTTTTTCTTGCTAACCGTTCATTGCTGTCACCAATATTTTCAGATCTTTGAGTCTTAGCAACAGCATAAACATTCCCACTATCTGTTTCCACAGACTCTTTGCTTTCCAGCCTCGAAGCTTGTTTATCCCGGGTGAATATGCTGGTAAGCTTCACCTGCTTACAGCTAGGCTCTTTTGGTTTCTCAACCACATCTTGCTCAACTGATGAAAACTTCCTCTTGAAACTGCTAAGCGATGGAAATTTCCCTTTCTCGACATGCGTACTTGTTGGCACAACTGAAGCAGGCTGATCTGATACCTTTTCATCTTGCTTCATCTGAGAGCATCGAAGGTCTTCATTTCCATGGGAGTCGCCATTGTAGTTTCTAGGAACGAACGTGGAGGCTGACAGTTTTATTTGCATCAGAGGTTTCTGATTGACATCAAATAATGCAGTTCCACCATCGAACATCTTCCTCAGCGACGATTTTATGGTGGCTAGAAGGACTTTCTCTTCCTGGACAAACACCTGTCTCTTGTCTGGCGTGACATTGACATCTACACCATCTGATAAGGAAATGAAAGTCGTAAGATCAAGAGTGGAACAACTAGGCATTCATGCCTTACACTTCCAATGTTATCAGAGTTTTTGTTGAAACACGGTGCACGTTACTGGTAAATTGAAGAACAGCTCAGTACTCTAAAAATCTGTTGGCCATCTGTCAGTAGACTGTTGACCAACAGTGAGCTGACAGACGATCAATAGTTGACCAACAGACGACAAATGGCCAACAATCGCCCCACAAGCTGCCAACAAGTGGCCAACAAACCATCAACTGTTAGCTGACAAACTGTTGTTCGCCTGCCAGTCGACAGTCAACCGACAAGTGGACGACATATGTTTCGGGGAGCTGTTCTTCATGTTACCCGTTATTGATGCTGACTCCTTGGGAAAACTCTCGTAAGTGATTGGCTTAAGTTGTGATCCTTTTATATGGATTCCTGAGGCAGTTGCGTACAAGGGCTTTAAATGTACAAAAATTTTCCAAATTAGATGTAGCACCTATCCAGTCAGGAACAGGGAAAGAGCGGCATTGAAGGTTGAACTGATAACCCTGATTTCTTCCTGCTGAGACACTATCATATGGGATTGATTCCTGATGTTGCAGACTAGTGGAATCACACGATAATGTACATTGTGTTGTAATACAAAACATTGAAAGGACACTGACAATACCAACACCACAGCAGAAAAGGTAACCTACATTATAGATTCTGCAAGACCAAGAAAAACTGGGAACAAAACAATCTGCACCTCTTCCCTTGTTGTTTCTTGCAGGTAGCTCGTACAATGGTACAACATTGCTTGGAGGGGTGGGGGAGGGAAAGTTTCATTTTCCTCTTCTGAATTTGGTAAAATGTTACAAAGGCCCTATAATAGCTTGTATTAATTTTTTCATACTTAAATTAAAAACAAACAACAAACAAACAGAGTCTCAACTGATTTTGTTGTCAAAGACAGCAATGAACTGCTACTGTCTAGAATAATCGTCTAAAATGTAGGGACATATTCTGCCAGCAACATACACCATATGCATCCTAGATTGTAGGATACTGTATAAGAGTATGGTTCTCTATATTGAGCAATGTGAGGACAAGTAATAACTGAGACATAACAACAAGGACTGCAACAAACCACAACAAACCTCTTGCCAGCAATATGTCCATCATCACAAATGGATACTGGTGTCTGTTAAACATATGGTAGACCTCATTAATGACTCGAGACACCTTGCTCAGCTCACAGGGTCGCTTGTTAACGTATAAAAACTGACGATCAGCACTGCTGCGGCCCATACCATGATCTGGTTTTGAAATGTATCCAGTGATTTTAAAGGGGTTTCCCTGAGCACTGCACTTTGAGGCAACGAGCCCAAGTTCATTGCAGTCTTCTTCTGATGGAACAGACTGCACAATGGCCATTACTGTTTGAATCTGAAATAATAATAATTATTTCTTTAGACTGGTTGACAGATAGAAAAAAAAGGTAAGGCCACTCCCTGGCATTTTCTTCATGTGCCATTTTTTCAGACACTTGAGGGAAACAAGTGAGCTGAGGAAAAAAGATTTAAAAAGAAGAGAACTTGTAAGAGGTTAGCAGCAGGGATGTCATTAAGAGCCGCGGAGGCCAGGGATTTCCCCCATCTACTATGAGTGTGGTCTCCGGCTACTATTAATTGGAAAATAGAACCAAAAGAAATCCCTGGCTGTTTGATTCCCTGCCCACTTGTTGTATTTACCCAGCAGCTTGAAAGTTTAGAGACAACCCTGTTTGCAGGTTTTGCTGGGTGAGCCTCTTTTACACATAAGCCTTCAAATATGCCAGAAAAAATTTTGTTATCTGTCACTGCTCTGTTTTTATGGTCATCATATCTCTAACTGTTTGTCACTTAGAGATTACAAGGGTCACCTGATCTGGTCAATCCAGGTTTTCTTAGACTTTTTCTCAACAAGACGAAATCTTTCTTCAAGGTGCAAAGCACTGGCATAGCATCACCTTCTCACACGTGCAAAGCGTGCAAGCCTCACACGCCCGCAAGAGAAAAAAAATGACTGTCCGTTTTTCCGCACAACAACTTCGTTCTGACAAGGGGCTCCAAAATTAATGTTGTCGAGCTGTCAAAAATCTGTTCACAACTCCACCCTCTTTGTGAATTTAATAGACTTGATGACTGATTTCAGGGGAAAATTGCATGTTATCGTCTACCCTTCCCTTCAAATCTTGTGGTGAACACTGTGTCCAGTAATTGACGTCTTTCCTTAGTCTCGCTCACCGTTTTCAGCCTTGCACCAGACTTTTTGTCTGACTGTTTGTTTGTACCTGACTAAGCAGAAATATGGACTGTTTCGCTGTCCAAGGTTTTGTTGACATATATGTTACAGGTCAAAATTAAATTCAGGTTAACATTTTTTAAGCTAGGTTGATTCGCAATTTCCTTTCATTGTCTCCAAGCCCTAATTCATTAATAATTAGGCATAGGAAACAAAGCAAATTGAGAATCAACCTAGGTTCAAAAATTTTAACCTGAATCTAATTTTGACCTGTCACATACATTGTACTAAACTGGCAGTGTTGGAAAAGTGGTAGCCACATTTCAATTATTGTAAAATTTCACCCATAGATTATCAAAACAAGTACAAAATTTACAAACCTGTTTGGGCCCAAACACACAAGTGATGTTATCTTTAACTTGCTCACTACCATTTGTAGTCACAATCATTGTTTTCTTTCCTTTTTCTGCTTGGTTACTGCAAGTTATTCGAACTCCTGTACTTATCAGACAATATCCTTGCAGAACATGCACCAATTTTGTGAACTCTCTTTTTATATTACGAAGAAACTCTCTGTGCCGGACTGGCAAGGTAGAAAACAAGTTTTGTAGGGAGACTGTTGTGCCAAGATCCCTGGCACAAGGTTGCTTTGAAAGCAACTTGCCATTGTGATCATATTCTAGTTTTGTTGCTGCAGCTTGGGAAGAATGGTGCGTTACTATAGAGAGCTTACTGTTGAGACAAAGAACAAAACATCAATTTATTAGCCTGAGAAGACCACCAACATTTTGTGACCCCACCACTGGTTTCCCTGCAAAATGATGTCTGAGAAACAAGTGCAGAAATTCCATACCAATGATGCATCACTGCCCTGATCTAAGTAGTCCTTCTGATTGGTTGAATCAAATTTCCCTCATGGCACGACCAATTAAGAAAGATGGAAAACAGTTGTCGTGTTGTGAAATGTCAGCTATCTATTCATTGGCCTTTAAAGTTTGACTCTTTAATTAGGAGGTCTATGTAACTTTATTACAGCCCCGGCTACCAAGGGGAAGGGTAAGCTCAACAATAACATTATTAGATCACTGGTCTGTGCATACAGTTCCATTCCAGGGACTTGACAATAAACATCCTAGGTGATGATGAATTTTTCTGTGTGCAGACCATCCCAGTTTTTGCCAAGTAACGAAATACTCAAAATTGTGAACATTCCCTATAATGTCTGATCAGTGTTCTCCCTAGGTACTTAATGCTAGGTGGACCACCTGGCTTAATTCACTAGAAAATTGTTGCTGCCCTGCTTAAAAACTAAAGATTTAACTGAACAGAAGCTTATGTTGACATATAGAGCTAGGTATTTTAAAGACAAAATCCCTCAAAGGAGGGAATAAATCATTGTCTGGTGTCTTTATTTGTGTAATTTCTTGCAAGATATTGGTTATAAAAAAGGTTTATCATTGGATGAATATGTTCAAACCTGTGATGCATTCATTTCGTTGAATGGCCCGTTAAGGAGCTTTAAACATTGAGTACTAAGGAAATTCTTTCGCTCGCAGTCAACCCAAGACGCACGGAACAAAGATGAAAAGCTTATCATAGCAAACGAGTTCTTTTTGTACAACTTACTTAAACTAAGTTCCCAAGTCGATAATTTTTATTCAGGCTACAGCAGGCTTCGTACAAACGCCGTTAAAAATCACATTCAGAATATCCCCCTAGCCTTCCCAAGATACTGTGGAGAACACTGCTGGCATGGCTGAGAATAAGGTGGGACTGTTTCTATATTCCCAAAGCACCTCTACTTTTTGCTTGGCATTCCCTACATGTAAACATGTTTAGTGTAAGGGATTAACAGCGATAGATTCTCTTGGGACTCCACCCTCTGACATATTGCTTGGCACCATCTGGAACAGATGCTGGGATATATTTCAGATACTTCACAGACTGTTCAACCTTCTGAGCAGGTAAAGTCAGGATATTTTAATAATCGAGGAATCACGCGAGTGCCGAAGAGGTGAGCCGCTAGGGGGGCCTAGCGGGTGGATGCTTACTAGGGCGAGGGTGTTAATTAAAGTGTGGGCTCTTATTTGAAGAAATACTATATGACAAACAGCCTTAACCCATTCGCCCCTGAACCGCCCGTAACCGCCCGTGCGGATCCAGGTCCTTTCTACCCTTTGTGACGTCATCAGTTTTTACGGTCAAGGACAACTTTCTTCGCTAACTTGTGCAGAGTGAAGAGATCTTTCAAACCATACCAGAATGAGCACAATTCAGTCAAGGACACCGGAGAAAGAAGCAAAAAACCACGTGACAAGGACCTGAAAATCCTCATGAAAATCTTGTTCCATTACCCACCTACCTTTCCTTTCACCTAATCCTAAGATCCTAAAAGCTTTCCTAAAAACTCTTCCCACCAAAATGAAGCCTACTAAATGCCCAGCAAGAGAAAAAAAAAATGAGGCAAGAAAAGCGAAAAAAGAAGGGAGGAGAGAAAGCGAAAAGTAAAAGTCAAGACTGCTGTGTCACTATTAAACCCAAAAACTATGTCGAAATTTTGCTTTCTGCGCATGCCCGAACTTCGCAAGCTGATATTTTGCATCTGGATCAGAAGGCCGCCAAGTGTACGACCTCTAAACCGGTTTGTGGTAAGTTTTAGTTTTTATAGCACGACAGTGACCACAAAACCACTCGACTAGCTTCAAAACGCGTTTTTCGGCAAAATCTCCAGGAGTGAATGGGTTAATTAACTTTACTACAACCTTGTCCCCAGGGTGCTTTTCCATGGCTTCGCCCCACCTCCAAAGCCAGGAAAAAGCGCCCTGGGGACAAGGTTGAATTTACTACCAACAGATTGAGCCATTCCATTTACTTATAGCTATCCCACCTTCATATGACTTTACAGCTTAAAGATTGAAAGTACTGACAAAGTTAACCCTCAGAAATAGCCAGTTTTTTCTTCCTCCCTTCAGAAAGAGGGCCTTTTGCCCTTATCCCTCAGAAATATTCCAAGAAAGTTCTCCCAGAGTTACAGGGGTGGGCATGCTCCAAGCGCGGATCCAGGATTTTTTTAGGAGGGGGTGTACTCGTCTCTTGCTCTACTTCAACACCAATAAACCACATAGTCTTTTTTTTTTTTTGCAGAATACCAGTTGTATTAGAAAACCGCAGGTCATCTCAGGGAAGGAGGGGGATGCGCACCCCCTGCACCCTCCCCCTAGATCCGCCTCTGTGCTCTCTTTTTCTTCTTCCCTCCCCCAATTCTGTACCCCCCGGGAGATGTTGTCGTCCATATGATATAGGACCATATAGGGGAGGGGGGGGTGTGGTGGGTTAGATATCAAATTAATTACCTCAGGGCGCACAAAGAGCTCAAAGCCTCTCCCCTAAAACCAAACGTTTCCACACTTGTTAGATCTGAGAAATCTCTGAGTTTCGATGTGTGATGCTTCAAAGTCAAAGCTTCGAAATTATGCGGTTCGACTCCAAAACCATTGTCGTTGACTTCCAAGACGTCCGCGCCGTGGTTTTTTAGCTTGATCTCGATGTTTGTAGCTCCAGCATCCAAGCTGTTTTCAACAAGTTCTTTCATAGCAGTTGCAATGCTTAACACAACCTGTCCGGAGCATATCTGATGGATAGATTTTTGATCAATTGATTGAACAACGGGAGACGACGAAACTGCCGCCATTTTGCTGAATATTCGGGAAGGTTCGGATTTCTCCGTTTGAAGTCCGGCACTTACGTTCGGTCCCAGTGCTTGCAAGCGCTTGAACCGAATCGGAAGTCAAAGATGGCGGGAACGACAGAAGAGAAACCGGAACCAGTGGGAAGATCCATTTTTTTGGACGTAAGAATATGTGTGATCTTGAAACATTTATTCTGTAGAACATGTTCTTAAAAAAGGTCTTTTTGTCCTAGGTTTTCCGGAGAGCAGACAAAACCGGTGAGTGCCCAGTCTGCCTAGTGACGTGACAAAATCGCTGACCGACAAAAAATTCCGACAGACTACTGCTTGCTTGTAAGCTACATGTAATTCGGACAAATACAACATCTCACAAGTAGTGTCTAGAGGCCCGGTTCAGACGCCGAACTTTTCATGAGCCGAACCTAATTCGAATTAAGGCCGACCGAAACTATTTAGACTGCCGGAATTGATTCAGACGACGCCAATCTTAATTCCAGCCGAACTAAATTCCAAAGGCTATAAATGCCCATTTTGGTCAAACGGATTGGAAAATACGTTATTATAGTTTATGCATTAAGTTCGGTACAGGAAAAGTTCGGCGTCTGAATCAAAACCGTTCCAAAGTCGTTCCACAGTCGAAATTCCGGGCCGGGCTGGGCGTGAAGAACTGCTGAGCCGTTCCAAATTGAAATAGGTGTTCCTTAATTGATTCAGACGAACTTTTCATGTACTTTAATAATTCAATGTATTAGGCTCGGCTCATGAAAAGAACGGCGTCTGAACCGGGCCCAGCCTAAGAGTTCGAGCACCGCAAATGCTGACCGAGGTTGAAACAGAAAATGATGGGGGAGGGGGCAGGGAGAATATGGGCGCGATCCATTGAACCAAAATTTTTGGAAATTTCGGTCCAAAACTGAATGGATCTGTTCAGTCCAACCGAAAAGTTTCGAAAAAACTGGTCCACTTTATGAGGTGGACCACTTTTCCTGGTTGGATTGGTTGGAATTTGGGTTGAAATGGATCGTACCCTATATCCTCGCTGCTTTCTCTCCTTGCCTTCACCCCCCACCCCCTCGATTCTTCTGTTTTTCTTCCGCGGTTCAACTTTCCCGCGGTTGTATCTCTTACTACAAAAGATAAAACACACTAAAAAAAAATGCCAGCTAAGCAAGCTATGTCCTCATTTTGGTCAGCTGTCTCTGCATCTGACCCCAAGGTTTGCAGATTAACCCTTCTTGCCTTGATCTGAGTATTTTTTTTGCTGTCATATGTACGTTGACAGGGGCAGGGATAAAATTGTCGGGTATGTGTGATCTACTCCATTAACCCCGGGAGACTTCTGTATCAAGGGGAAGGGGATGTCCCTATCTGAATGTGGCTCAGGCTTCATCAACCCTAAAAGCGAGACTATACTAAAACAGACAATAAAATAAGGCCAAAAATATAGTGATTTTCTTATCGATATCAGCATTGTTTGTTTGTTTGTTTGTTTGTTTGGTTTTTTTTGTCAGGTTTTGCTTTATATGGAATCCTTAGCAATACCTGCATGACAATTATATTGCCCCTCCGTCCTAAACACCCTAAGTGAGACCAAAATCTGCAATTTTCACTCCTTAGTAAGATGACAATCATCCCTGTACTGGGTCCCTCTCCTAAAATATAATAAAGGGTCTCAATAAAAGTCCTGTAACTCAAATCATCATCCCCCCCCCTCCCCAGGCCTTTAGCCTGCATTGGCATGAAGGCATTTTCTTTGGGGGCATGAATTATTATGTTTGCACATAAAGTCAAGGAAATGGTCCTTCTTTTGCCTAATGCCTACCTCAAGGGTTGATATTTCTACTCTCTTTAATCTTCCTCAGTGATAAAAGCTAGGTGGTGGCTATGGTATTTAATAAGCATAAACAAGCAGCTTTTACTTGCCTAAAAATATACTTGCAGTGCAGGCTAGACACCTTCAGTTGCATCTAAACCTACACTGGATATTGAGCATGGTTTTTCATAATATTGCAACTGAACTTGGTATTGCCGTGGGTCTCTTATTCACTATCTGCTCATTACCCTTACAATAATTGAACCCCGATTATCTGGACTTGTTGGGACTTGAGTAAATAGTGCGGATAAACAAGAGTCCGGATAATTGAAAATATTAATATTAATGAGACAATAATGTAAACATAGGGAATAAAGAAAACAAAATTTGATTCTGAATTAGCTCCTGCTTGAATTTATCTACAGACTGTAAGTATTTAAGCTTCTTTATTTTCAATCGTTCGTTCGTCTTGATGCTGTCAATGAAATTTAGGATCTTCTCTTTGTTTTTGTGTATAATCTGAGATCTGCTGCTTGCCGATTAAAAAAGAGTGCTAAATTTGTTCCTTTTTCGCTTTTCTTTAAAGGTGAAATAATTGTTTGCTTATTTTCTTTAGTGAGAGAACAGACTGCTTTCATTGCGTGGACAAGGCTGTGATTTGAGTTTAGGATCGATTGGTCTTGTGTTTACATAACCAATGCAGAATCAAGCGTGACATTCCCTTAGCAACATAACAATTGAGACAATCAGAATTCAGCTGAATGCATCAGAAAAATAAGTTTGTCCTTGCCGTCCCTTGTTTTTCATACCAAAACAGATTAAAACAGCATTTTAAACACACGTTTGCAAGGATTAATGAACTTTTAATCGTTTCAATTTTTGAATATCACGTCTTATTAATATTCATGCAAAAAACAGGACCAGGGAAACAAGTCCAGATAATCGAGGTTCGACTGTAATTCCAGGGTTCTATCTAGAGTATTTGATGGGTAGAAGCTTCCCCCACAAAATGCCCAGCTTCCCCCAAACAAATTTTGTTATCATTACAGTATTAACTAACTATAACGTCACTGCAGGTCACTCCCCACACTGTAACACTTCTCAAAATTGTGTCTCAAAATGCACCAGATTTGCATCTCAGTGCATATTCATTTCAAAAATTTCTGCGGGGTGGGGGGGGGGGG